CTCTTCCAAAATGCCGTTCTACCGCTGCTGCTACCTTTCCACTGCCGTTTTGCTTCTCTGACTCGTTGCGGCTTCGTCTTCTCCAAAGGTGGCGGCTACACGAGGTTGGGAGGGCGGTGGCATCGACATGAGGTTGGGAGGGCGACGACGACAAAGTTGGGGCCATGCTAGCCGACTCCTCTTTTGCCCGTGCTAGCTGACTCCTCATTCCCGCCCCGTCATCCTCGATCACGGGTGTAGCGTGGGGGAAAGGGGAAAGGAGGCAGCGGCGAAGCAGCAGGAGGAGTGGAAGCTCAACGCTTGGGGAGGTCGCCGACGGACACCGTCGTGCACCCGAATGGGCGGCTAAGCATACTCGCCAGAAGCCGGCGGCACGAGCGGATAGGCAAGTGTTGTTTATTTTTATTTTCTCTTGTCATTTATAGGCGGAGCCTACATTCTTTTTAATTTCTTGATGTTTGGACTGCCACGTGGACGCTACGTCAGTAAAAACCACTAACAATACAACCGAGGGAGCCGTTTTGCTCGGTTTTAATAGTTGGAGGAGACTGGACTGCCACGTGAGCAAGAACCACCGTTAACACTACCGAGGAAGCTATTTTGCATGGTTTTAATAGTTGGAGGAGCCCTTACACGGTTACACCTAATTTTTCTATTGAGGGATACAAATCAGATTCGACGAGCGCTACTACAAAACATCAAATAGATGCCGGCACTATAGGTGCCGGAAGTGGTAAAACCGGCACCTATAGTGCCTATCTCAACCCGCCAAAAAGTCGAGAACCGACATCTTTATCTCCTAAAAAAATGGCACCTTTTACCCCTGTCCTTTTACCCCTGTCAAAGAAAGCTCCGGTTTTTTATTAAATCCGGCATCTTTTAGTTGGCGCGGGGCCTACCAAAGAACCGACATATTTGTGGTAAAGGAAAAGGTGCCGTTTTTTTAAAAAATCTGACACCTGTAATATATTATATAATATATTATAGGTGCTAGTTTTTTAAAAACCGACAACCCGTAAAACCGAGCCAAGCCACACGGGGGAGCGCGTCCATTCTTATCCATCCACCCGCACCGCGCTCTCTGTCTCTCCTTATCCATCCACTGCTCTCTCTCTCTCTGCCACACACGCGTCCGTTCAATAGAAATTTTCTTCCTTCTCTTTCTCACCTCTTCTCCTCATCCCTCCCTCTCCTCAGCCCTCTTGCGCACCCAGTGTTGGTATTTCTTAATGACATTACCAGAAATATAATTCCCAGCAATGACGCAGAAATACTCCTGGTATATTATGGTTACAGAGTTCATCCACAAACGCACGGATATACCATTGTAGCATTTCACCCGAGAGTATTCCAAGGGTATCGTATTTATTTTATCCCGTGGGAAGATCATGTAGAGAGAACTTGACTAATAATTTATATGTTACTTGTGATAATCATATTCTAAGCAGAGGTTAAGATAATCCAAGGGTAGAGTGACACACAAGCAGTAGCTACTCATTCTCATAATATATTATCTAAGCTAAGTGGAAAGAAAAGAGAAAGATAATCTACTCCTATACTTCTAGTATACATAGTATACATACATTCTAGTTATCCGATATACTAGCTAATACCCTCTATCCGATGCCCTCCTAGTACTTCGAGAAGCCACCGAGGCTAAATACGGAGGAGTACCCTCCCCAGGGAATTAACTTAGGATTATATACACGCGCGGAGGAATACCCGTACTGAGCTATCATCATCAGCGGCACACCTCTCATCCGCAGCATATAACCCCAAATAATGATATCCCGTAATCTAGACACCACGTCTAAACTACTAGATACTACTCTAATATCATCGTCATGACATAGAGTAATTGCATAAGCAAACATTATACCCGCACCAAAGCATCTCCCAGATAAGCTAGCAGCATATTCAGTATAACATGAACATAATGTAAAGTAGGCATTTATATACTCGGAAAGTATTTCAATACCATAAATGTATATAGAAGAGTATTCTAATAAAAGTACAAAGCTTTCAAAAGAGGAAAGGAAAGCTACTAGAGCCATACCCGAACTCTTCCAAAGACTTCCGGACTCTTGATTTCTAATCTATTCCTATTCCACTAGCTTGATACTACTAAACTAAACTTGAGAGAATATGAGAGAGCTTTGCTTGAAGTGTGTGAGTGAAGTGAGAAGGTGACAGGTTTATATAGCCTCCCAATGACGATTGTGATGGTTGGAATGGTCGGAAATACCCTCCAACCGTCATTGGGAGCTAATCCACACTGTCCAGCCGCAACCCTGCATCCAACGGCGCCAGGGGGTTCGGCCGAACCAGGGGCCTGCCCAACCTGGCCCAAATTCGGCAGGTGGCCTCCTCAGTTGTTCTTCTCTGCAGACTTGTGAATTTTGTCCCAGTTTGTCGTGTCAATTCTGAGTTATTGGCCCATTCATGCATAAGTTTGATTCTCGACATCGTCCGATTGATTTATTTTCTGTGTTGATGTCGATTTTCGTCCACTTTATGGTCATTCTCTGCCAAGGTTAGTAAACCTAATACTAGTGGAATATTATTATTCTAACATATATATGCATGGCAAGCATCACTAGTTCTCCTCTATTTTGGTAATATTGACGGTCGAAACTGATCGATAACGACCGTCAACACCCAACATCGGTGGAGGCAGCCGCGGCAGATTCACCCGGGAGGGGAGGCGTCGGACCGGCGCGAGGTGCCGCGGTGGAGGTGGTGGCGCCCTCTTTTGTTTTGGTTATTTTGCTATATGACTTTGTTTTAATAATTTGAATTTGAATTTCAAATTATGACAACTTCAAACAATATTTTCAAATACTAAATGATTTAAAATGAAAAAGTCATTAACAACAAAGTTGTATAACTCAACAATATCTATAACTTTTATTTTGGTCATTTCTTTATCCGCCAAAGTAATAGTAATATTGTTGACAAAAGTTACATCTCTTATAAGAGAGAGATTTAAATTTTATGAACAATGTTTCTATCATTTTGTCGGATGAAGAAATGACGAAAATAAAAGTTATAGATATTGGCGAGTTATACAACTTTGTTGTTGATGACATTTTCAGTTTAAATCATTTAGTATTTGAAAATTTTGTTTGAAGTTGTCATAATTTGAAATTCAAATTCAAATTATTGAAACAAAGTCATATAGCAAAAATGACCAAAACAAAAGTTGTAGATCTTGATGAGTTATACAACTTTGTTGTTGACAATTTTTTCATTTGAAATCATTTACTACCCGAAAAATTATTTGAATTGAGAGGAGGGAGGCAAAATGTACTTCTCGGCGAGGGAGGAGTAAAAGGGCTGGGCAGACGACCCGAAGAGGGAGGAGGGGAAGGGGAAGCCGGCCCGAGGAGAGAGAGAAAGAGGCTGTGGGCTGAGGGAGGGAGAGAGTAACACTTGGGCCGAAAAATGCCCAAGCACAAAGAGAGGGATTTTAATTTGTTTTCTATTTATTTCAATAGGTTAAATGAACTTTGTGGTATTAAAACTAGTTATTGAGCTCTGAAAATTCACGGAAAATTTTAGAGAATAATTTAGACCACATAGAATATTACAAAAATATTTCCGACCATGATTTTTAAAGGAAAATTTTAGTTTCCTCGTTAATTCACTTGAGTAAATTGCTTTAACTTTTAATATAGTTTTTCTAGAAATGTATTATATAAATATGTGACGTTTGATTTTTGCCCCTTATAACAAATTAATATTCGTCACAATGTTCCATTAAAATACTTTATGACAATTTCTAGTTGGTATTAACGACGAACACCTTTTTTTTCGTCACTAAGCCATCCTATCTCATACTAATCGTCATAAAATGGAATGTGCTAATGATGAATAGTTCCGATGTCACGAGGAATTCATCACAAAAGGTCATATTTCTTGTAGTGTTGGTCAGGTTGTTTCTCATGTGTTCTTGTTCTTGTTCATGCAAAAGAATTCTTGTTCATGTGAATCTTGAGATTGTTTGGGGGTGAAAGGGAGCTGCTCGGCTCGAATCAAGCTGATGCATCGAGCCAGCTTTTTTTATTCCAGCTTTTTTTATTCGTGAAACCTTAAAGGTGCCAGTTTTAAAATATAAAAAACCGACATCTTTATCCATATAGATGCTGGTTCGAAAGCTGGCACCGATGACCGAAGTCATCATGCTGCCTCCGTGGTACTGATTGGGAAAATCGACACCAAAGGGGTTCTCAACTAGCACCGATGGTGGAGAGTTAGATAGGACTTTTTCCCTACATAAAATGAGAATACATAGCCCACGTATGAAAATACTAACCCCCATCTTAGCTAGGACGTCCGAATCCTGATGCAAACCTACGGTGGACATAGCACACTTATAGATGGCCAAAAGGCCCGAGGCCCGACGGCCAGGCCCATGGCACGGCATTTTGGCCCGGCCCAAGCACGGCACGGCCTGACGGAGGTCGGGGTCGTGCCTGGGCCCCTCCACCAGCACGATGGGCCGGCCCGGCACGATGGGCCGGCAGCCAGGCCCGATACACAAGAAACTAGGGGAATAAAAATGACATATTATAGCAATGGATGAAAGAATAGGGATGCAAAATAGACTTTTTTTATCTATATATGTCAGCCCAAAGAGGAGGGACGAAAAATAGACTTATTTTAGCTATACATATGTCAGCCCAAAGAGGAGGGACGAAAAATAGACTTATTTTAGCTATACATATGTAATAGCCCTAAGAGGAGGGACGAAAGCTAGACTTATTGAAAAAAAGGCCCATGGGCCACCCATGCCTTCGGGCCGGCACGGCATGGCCCGACAGCTGGTGGGCCATGCTTGGGCGGGAGGTGCAGCCCATGGGCCGGCACGGCCCGGCATGAAGTGCCGATCCCAGCCGTGCCTGGGCCGGGCCGTGCCGGACGGGCCTTTTGGCCATCTATAAGCACACTGGTCACTCCATGCGTATCAATCCCCAACCCTAACTATTCACGAGAGAAGATAAAAAAAAAAAAACTATTCACGAGAGAGAGACAGAGAGATCGATCCTCAACCCCAACTTGCGAACCAGCGGCGGCGGGTGGAGATGCTCCGCCGGAGCAAGAAGCAGAAACTGGCCAAAGAAGATGAAGAAGATGCTCGTATCAGAGATACGGAGTCTCCGTCGTCGGTGTACCTGGTGGTCGGCCATGGAGTCACTCGCCCTTCCTACTCCTTGTTCAAGGTGAACCCACACCTTCCAGCTAACGCTGACGACGGCGGCGACACCCCGCTACCCCTCCTGCCCTACCTCGCTCACCTGACCGGCAAGCACTACATGTCTTTCGTTTCCGTGCGGTCGAGGAGGCACGCGCCGTGGATCGTTGGCGTCGGCGGCAGCTCAGCCCGGAATTACGGCCCTGATGAGACCATCGTCTTCGACACCGTGATGCGCAAGGAGATCTCGGGACCCAAGCTTTTGTCGACCAAGCTCTGCCCGATCTTGCTACCATTCGGCGACAAGATCTACGCCCTGGCGCGCAGGCCAGCCGTGACGGGGGACGTCAATTTCGTCCCCTGGTTCGAGGTGCTCGATCTCTCCGTGGCTCGGGTGGACGACGATGCCTCGGACCGTCTGGTGGGCTGCGAGTGGAGACCACTGCCTCGCCCGCCATTCTTCCCCTGGGACCTCACCCCAACTGACTACATCTTCCCGCCGGTGGTCACCGTCAAGTCCCATGTAGCAGTTGCCTCCTACATTCTGCTGTCCATAACCGGGCAGACGGGCACCCACATGTTCGACGTCGAGACGGAGGAATGGCGCAAACTCGACGACAATGACCTGCCGTTTCATGGACGTGCCGTCCCTCTTCAGGGAACAGGAACGCTCTATCTTGGCTTATCGAACACTACCAATGCAATCACTGCTTACAGGATCAAAGTCGTCTCTGCAGTCCAGCCTCCGCCGTTGCAAGCCCAAGCATCACACCTACAGGGTGCCTGTCCAGCCTCCGCCGTTGCAAGCCCAAGCATCACACCTACAGGGTGCCTGTCCTTGTCAATTGTTGAGATCCGAATGGTGACCAACTTTGAGGATGAGGAGGAGATTGTTAGCACTGGCAGATTTATTTTCCTCGATCACCTCCCTGACAGACCTGGCTTCTGTTCATTTACATGGTCCAACGATGACCCTCTCCAATTCTCATCTTTACCTGAGCACACCAAGGAGCTTCTCACCATTAGAGCATACACAACAGAGGGACCCCTGTCACAAGATTACCTCGAGTCTACTCGTACCCTTGTGATCTCCAACCAATGGAAACAGGTTTACAGCATATGCGATACTGTCCGGGGACTTTCTTTCCCATGCCTGGCAGGCGCAATATCCTTATGAGTAAGCCCCTCTTGACACAGTTTTTTTCTGGGACTTCACTACATTGCTTAAATTAATTCATATATCTAGCTAGTTCAATTAGATACTTTATTTGTTCGCTCAAACCAATCACAAACTGATAAGAACAAACTGGAGATTTTAGATTTCACTGGTGGAGAAATGATCTTTGCTGGGTCGACCCAAAACCACAATAATTCCGGTTCTAAAAAGAACCGGGACTAAAGATGATTTTTAGTCCCGGTTGAAAACCTCAGAGACATTCTATACCAACCAGGACTAAAAATCATCTTTAGTCCCGGTTCATCCTCTGTCAAATTGATGTTATGGGGGCCGAGGATCTTTAGTCCCGGTTGGTAACACCAACCAGGACTAAAGATCACCACTTTAGTTCCGGTTGGGAACACCAACCGGGACTAAAGATCAAACCGATCTTTAGTCCAGGTTGGGAACACCAACCGGAATTAAAATTCGAAGCGTAGTATATAATCCCTATCCCTTATCCTCTCCTCCATAGATCGAATCTCTCCCTTCCTCCTCCCTTCCTCCATCGGTCCATCCTCATCCCGATCCATCCCCTCCACCGCCTCCCCTTCCTCATCTGATCCCCTCCCCTCTCCTCCACCTCCTCCTCTCCCCTTCCTACCCATCCTCCCCTTCCCCTCCACCTCCTCCCCTTCCTCATCCCCTCCCCTCTCCTCTACCTCCTCCTCTCCCATTTCCTGCCCATCCACCTCCCCTTCCCATCTGGCAGCCGGCGGCCAGCGGGGCCGTGGCCGGCGGCAGGCCGGGGCAGCGGGGCCGCGCCGGCCGGCGGCGGGCCGGCGGCAGCAACAGCGTTATTTTCTCTTTTTTTTTTAATTTGTGATTCACATGTATAATTTTGTGATTTATTGGATGGATCTGAGATGACCTGTGATGTATTTGATTTGTGTGTAATTTTTTAGGATTTGTGATGTATTTGACCTGTGATGTATTTGATTTGTGTGTAATTTTTTAGGATTTGTGATGTATTTGATTTGTGTGTATATGTAACTTTAAGATTTGTGATGTTACTTTATTTGTGATGTGGATTTGGGATGTTACTTTGATTTGAGGATATGCTTCCCACTTGATTTGGAAGAAAATTAAAAAAAAAAGAAAAATGGACCGTCTGGAACTGCCGCTATTCTCTCTTTACTCCCGGTTCCCGGTTGGTAACACCAACCGGGACTAAAGATCCATCTTTAATCCCGGTTATTTGAACCGGGACTAAAGATAGCGATCTTTAGTCCCGGATTCGTAGTCCCGGTTGAAAAACCGGGACTACAGGGGGGTCATGAACCGAGAGTAAAAAGCACTTCTCCACCCGTGTTTCATGGTAATTTGTCGTACTGCTGGTTTAACATGTACTGATGTCTTGCTGCAATACATGTATCTATGTTAAGATTCTTGGTTGGGGTAGATAGGTTGTCAAAATCTGTGGGTTCTTACCACCTTGGTCGGGGTACATTGGTGGTCAAAGTTCGTGGGACTCGCCTTCTGTGACATGCGCAGTCATCACTAGATAGAACCTTAATAGTATACAAGTATTTCTACTTTGTAAGGTAATTAAAATTTCTTATAACTATTTTTCTTTATAATTGCTTGCCCAATGACGGGTTCTAAAGCTGGATTTGTTTGTCTATCTCAGAGCTAAAACAATAAAAATGCTAAATGGGGGACAAAAGCTAGATAAAGTGACACCATGAAGCATCAAGCAACTCACCTTATATTTGGTCCATCACTTTCAGCAATGAATTTATTTTTTCATCAATCCCTGTATTTTGCCTTATGCGCCGGATCGAAAGAGTAAATACCAACGCTTTTTTTCCATAACCTTGGATATACTATTGCTAAAATTGCTTGTTTTTTTGATGATCAACACTGGGAATGGGGAACATCCCTGCCTGGATTTTTCATTAATGAAAGCTAGTTTGTTTTTTTCCTGCTTGTTTTTCCATGTTCACCCCTTAGATGAACAAGTAGAAGTTAGTACACGTTTTAGCTTTGAAATGATATTTGTGTTGTGGTTTCAATTCCACCGTTCTGCATTTCTGGTCTTGTACATCGATATCTTCTTATTTTCTTTCCTCTTTTTGCTGTTTTACAGGGGAGCTGGGTTGGCTACCAAACATTAGTTGACTAATCCAGTAATAATATTATCACTACATTAGGATTTAGGCGTACTGCTTGCATTGAAGTTACTATGGTATAAGCCCAATGGAAATTTTTTAAATGGTAAATGAATCCACATATTGATTGAATCATCTGTATTGAAAGCTCTTTGTTCTAGCCTGCAGGGATTGTTGCAAGAACTGTGTTAGATTCAGACAATTGATTATTTATTGCTGCTTTATTTCATTTGTACAAACAAATATGTCATTTGAGGCTTCGTCACTTTGTTCACTTATAAAAGGACACACTACTATGCAAGTTAACGCTCTTTATCATTACTTATAATATCACTGTTTGTTTCACTTCAGGCTGTGTTACAGCAAGTATAATAGTAGGCTATAAGCCGGCTAAATGCTGAGGTGGAGGAGAGAAGAGAGGAGAGAGAAGAGAAGCAGACTGTAAACTTATAGCCGGCTTAGACACAGGAGCCAAGAAACCCTGTGTGAGAGATAAGTGGGCCCTGTATTAATTGTAAAGAGCTAACTATTATATGGGCAGGCTGAAAGAAGGCTACAAAGAATCTTATAGCCAGCAGGTCGGCTGTATTATTAGCCGTGCTCTTATGTGGGGAATTTCATATCGACGCCGGGAACGGGAGGAAGGCCCCGGCGCATGCACCATGAGCTAGTGGATTAAGTTTGTTAAGATTAGTGATTAGATCAAGTTTGTTAGTGGATTAAGTTTGTTGCCGGTTTGTTAGTTCCTTTTAAGTAGCAGATTAGTTTCATTGTAAGGCTATATATGCCATTTGATCAGATTAATGAATCAAGCAAGAAAGTTATCACAATTCCTGTTCGTTCCACCACGGCTCCGGGGCGGCGAGGTGTGCAACACTGCAACCTCGCCCTCCTAACATCTTGGTATCAGACTTCCACGATCCTGCTCGACCTCGCCGCCGCCGCGCCATGTCCACCGTCACCAACATTGGCGAAGATTGGAAAAAGGGCCTTGCTGAGGTCCTTGATTCCATCCAGGGCAAGCTCTCTGACCTGGATAACCAGCAGCAAGCGCACCACATCGCCATCCAGCGGCTGGAATGCGTAGGCCGCGATCGCTCCCCGCGTCGCGACGCCGATGATGACCACGACGTGACAGTCGCCACGGAGACCGGCCGCCGCGCTACCACGAGATCGACTTTCCCAAGTTCGACGGCCAAGGCAAACGCTTCATTTCCTCGACCGTTGCGAGTAATTCTTCCAAGGACAGCATACACCGGAGGAGGAGAAGGTCTGGCTCGGGTCGTATCACCTGCTCGACGGGGCACGATAGTGGTACATGCGCGTCGAACGCGACTTGGGCACCCCGACATGGTGTCGTTTCTCTGACATGCTCAATCTACACTTTGGGCCGCCCCTGCGCCAGGCGCCCTTGGGCGAGCTCGACGCCTACCGGCGCACGACGACGGTGGCCGCTTACATCGACCGCTTCCTCGACTTGCTCTCTCGCGATGGACCTCTCATGGAGGATCAGCAGTTGGACCTCTTCACCACGGGACTCCAAGAACCCCTCAGCATCGACGTGCTGCTGCAGTACCCTCACCACCATAGAGTTCGCCATGAGTCTGGCGCGTTCATTCAAACGCCATGAGCTCGCTCCGCGCACCACGCCATGTCGCGCCGCCTGGGAGCCAGCGTCTTCTTCGGTGGCGCCCATCCTTTCGCTCCCGGATACTGCATCTTCGGTGGGCCAATTGTCGACTCAGGTGGCTGGCTGCACGGTCCGTCGTCTGACCCCGTCGGAGATTGATGAACGCCGACGCAAGGTCTTATGCATCAACTGCGACGAGACCTACTCACGCGGCCACAACAAGGTTTGCAAATGCCTCTTCCTTCTTGATTTGGCTTATGATGATGATGAGGAGGACGAGGGGGACACTACACCGGCCGCCGATCCAGAGACGCTTCGCATCTTCCTGCATGCTGTCACATGTGTTCGTCCGTCCAACGCCATGCACCTCTCCATTCGTCTCGGCGACGCCACCCTCCACGCGCTGGTGGACATGGGGTCTACGCACAATTTCCTGTCACAGGAGTCCGCCGCACGCGTGCGCTTGCCGCTCATCCAACGCGCGGGCCTGCATGTGACCGTCGCCAACGGTGACTAGGTGCCTTCACCGGGTATGTTCCAGGACGCCCGCATCTCCATCGACTCCGAGGTGTTCGTCACCGACCTATACGTCCTTCCACTGGGCAGCTACGACCTCGTCCTCAGCATGCAGTGGCTGTCTACCCTGGGCCAAATATTGTGGGATTTTGGCCAACTCACCATGTCTTTCTGGCACAAGGACCACATGGTGTTGTGGCGCAGTCTGCCCACCGGTGCGCCGCTGGTGGCGCATGCCGCCACCACTCAAGACCTGCTGGACGACCTCCTCTCTGACTCTTTGAGTTCGCTGACATCTTCGCCACGCCCACCGGCCTGCCCCCTGTCACGCCCTGAAGTTCCCCTCCCTTGCTCTAAATTCATAAAATAAATCGTCCGAAGAAATTGTTTAATTTAACCTAGAGATGAATCCCTAATTAATAAATGCAAATAATAATCGGAATCGACATGTGGAATTTTTCTTGGATTCTACGTGTCAAAATACGCTAACAGGATTTTTAGTGGAATTTTCAGAGCCTTGGAAATAATTTTAACCAATTAAAATGAGCAAAGGGCAATATTAAATCTCTGGAAAAATCCTTTCTTCTTTTTCTTTTTCTTTTTCCTCCTTTTTCCTCTCTTCTTGGGCCGTCGGCCCAGTCCATTCACCTCCCGCGCCGGCCTTCCCTCGGCTGGGCCGGCCCAAGCCGGTTCCTCCCTCCTCCCTAACCCCTCCGGGTCACCAACAGGTGGGGCCCACCTGTCGGCCCCTTCTTCCACCTCCCGCCGCCGCTCCCCAAGCCGGCAACCGCCGAGCCGCCCACGCCGCCCGCCTCCCCCGCCTTCCGCGCCCCACTCCGCGCCCCGCGCCCACGTCGCCACCCACCATCCCCACTCCTCCCACTCGCGCGTGCACCCCGCAACGGAGGGATTCGAATTCGAATCTCTCTCTCTCTCTCTCCATCCCCCACGTCGGCGAGAAATCCGGCCGCCTCCCGGCCTCGTCCGCCCCTCCCGAGCCCATATAAACAATCCCCGGCGTCCTCCTCCTCCTTTTTCCTTTTTCCATCGGCCGGTCCGAAGCTCTCCACCGGGCCCGCAAAATGCGCCAACCGGCGGCGGCAATCTCAACGCTCCGGCCGCTTCTAGAGCGCTAAGGGTCGCCGCGCAACCCGCAATCGGGCGCCGATCCGGCATCCCTTGAGCGTCCGTCCGCCGTTCGCTCGGCCAAATCCGTCGTCCGAGCCGTTTCTCCCTACTCCGGTGAGCTTCCACCATTGCCCGCC